TGAAAATCTGATGATTTTTTGGGTTATATTTATGCAGAAATATAGACAATTCTAAATGGCCCACAAACTTTCAAGCAGCACTGTATATATATATATATATATATATATATGGTATTTATAGAGTTTTAGCTTTTAGTTTTAATTACTTTTTCTTATTTGTAAGTCGCTTTGGATAAAAGCGTCTGCTAAATGACTAAAAGTAAAGCAAAAGTAAAAGCAGGGTGATGGAAACCCAGCTATGACCCTTCCAGATAAGGTAATATTCCATTTCATTCTAGAGACAAATCCTAGGGTTGTAAATGGACATGTAAAACCGTTTCTGGAGATTTTTTGCCCAAGCCACATACCTTCTACGTAGATATCAGAGAACAATTTAAAATATTGTATCAATGCATTCTATGACACCTTTAAAACTGCTCGGTCGGTCCCGAATTATTTTATATTTGCCTGTTAATTTTATTTATTTTTATTGTTTTTGAACGAATTTGAGTCGTGACAACAGAGAACAAAAACTGAAATGTGAACACAGGAAGGGTCAGATGTGATCTGCGAGGTCCTGCAAACATACGGACAAAATCAGGTAAGAAAAAGGCTGTCTTTATTACCTTTCAAACATAGTATATAAATATAACGTTACCAGAGTTTATAAATGGGTAAAGGACATGTAACCTGCAGAAGATAAATACCTGCTGTATGTGTGTATTTTTGTATTGCTTTATCACAGATGCTAAAGTTAGATGCTCATCTGATGTTGTTGTGTGTCGCTGGTAATTTGTTAATGTCTGTCTTTTAGAGATTTTTCACATTTTTCTGATGTGAATGCCATGCATTAGGTGTGTTATTTTTAATCGTGTAATAGTCTCAAAGATAACATACTCTGTTCGTGTTTTCTGAATATCATGTAATCGCAAATGTCGGTACAATTTAAATTAATTAAGATTGTTTAAAGCAGTGGTTCTCAAAATGTGGTACGAGTAGCACTAGTGCTACTCAGGCTCCCTCTAGTGGTACGCAGAGGAATCACTAAATTAAATATAAATTAATGTTAATTAACATTTTAATTTAAATACAGTGCACGCCTTACACGGGCTGTAATTAAATGAAAAAAGACAAAACAATGAATTTTTCCAAACCCATTGCCTCTCCCTGAATCTGATTGGTAGAGGCACAGCGCCCCGCCCCTACACGCAGGTATATATATAATCTCAGTGAACAGAATTGTTTGCAGTTTGCTTGTCGCTATAACGAGGCACAAGGAAGAATCAAGACAGGGCGAGTCAATTAATCCCATTCAAGCATGTATCGTAAAATGATTGTGTCGTTTTTGGTCGTGACTTTGGCCGTGGCGAACGCTGGGATTCCTGGAGGCCCTGTAGATGCAAACATTAACGATGAACTATAAGGTTGGAGTAACGGTTTCAGGTTCAGGTCTGATTTGCTAGACATGGTCGATAAATAGTGAAACTTGGAAAGAGAGCGAGAGCCAGCTTTCTCCAGCATGACTTTGTAACGGTGGTGGCTGCCCCTAACTTAAATTATTTATTTTAAGAACTTTAGGGCCCCAGACAGGTTTTTTTTTTTTTTTTAAACTCTGGGTTGGCCCAACTATGTCTGAACATGTTTCTGGTTGACACTCCAGGTTGTCGCTGGCATGAACTACATCTTCACTGTGAAGTTGGGCAGAACCAACTGCAAAAAGGGTGGAGTTGAGACCCTGTGTGCCATTCATAAGGATCCCAAAGTTGCACGGGTAAGACACACTGTGTCTACTTTACAATATTGTGATTATCTGTTTAAGTTTCTCGATTTCCATGTTAAAAGTGATTGACCCTTTTGTTTTTTTTTTCCTTCAAGGTCATTCAGTGCAAAATAACGGTCTGGAGCCAGCCATGGTTAAACTTCCTTAAAGTCACTGAAAAAACCTGCATGTAGAGCTTGTGACGAGTGCAGTTTGGGGCTTTAACATTCAAGCGGCAATAAAATTTACTTGCTGTTGGTAATGGTAAACTTCGTCTTTATTCTTGATAAAATATAAACTTTATTTGTCCTGAGAACCTGTCAACAAATTATGATAAGAATACTTCATTAACACATAATCATGTAATCTCAGACTCCGTTGCTCTGGAAAAAAGCTACAATTTGTAGGTATTTCTAAATGATAAAACGCATGTTTCTAGATTGGTTCATCCTTTACTATTAAAACATGGTTTAACAATATGTCTGTGTTCCCAGCCGGCACATGACTGACCTTCAACGTTGAAATATGGTTGAAATGATGACCGTTGTTTCAACATTGCATCAATTAATGCTAAATGGTTGAAAGGTTAACAAACACTTGTAAATCAACGTTGATTTTTTTTTTTTTAACAAGATCTGTATGTTGAATCAATTTAATGTCTTCAGCAGCATACAAAAGA